GGTGGTCCAAAGAAGTCAGATCACAGTGAAATATTCTCTTCTGCCTTTCTGATTAATATTATCAAACAAAGTAGACAACAGATACAAATTCTTAAAAAAGAACTGGATTACCCAAACTTTACTTTTTTTTCTCTCCAGGGTTTTTTTTCCTGACACTACGTATGCAGCAGGACTATGTGAAATTATATCAAATACCATAAGAAAAATTCAGCCCCTTTTAGGCATTTAACACTCTGTAGGCAGCACAGAACAGAAAGCTAACAAGGTTTCCACCAAGTCAGTCGTTAGGAGAGACTGTCAGATGGCATAATGCTTGAATAGGTATTGTCAAAAAATACCAGGGTTTAGATGTCAGTCTTGCAAAATTACAAATAACAAGCAAGTGAATGACGGCCAATTTCCCATCTCCCAGATGCCCGTGGCAGCGCGATTCTTGTAACAATAGCACCCATGTAACTGCTTTAGAAAACAGATGAACCAAATTTGTGTAAATCCTCTTTTGTCACCCACCCTCCCCTGGGTTAGAAGCACCTTTGCTCAATATGGCACCGTCTTTCTCACACTGCTACCTTCCTAAAACGCATTTTGATCTCTATGCTCTCTGAAGCACTGGCCATTCTCGTTCCCTGACCCTTCCCTCTGACAACCACTGGAGCAGCTCAGCAATGCACAGTGCCTTTAAGAGAAGTCTGTGCTAAAACATTTTTGTCTTAGAATGTGCAAACAGTGGTTGTAATTCCAGAGCCCAGATAATTTCCCACTCCTCCAGCGCTGTCAGTGTAGTTTGTGGATCTGATAGTCGATTATGGAAAAGTCACAAGCGATACAATCTGCAAAAGTAACCCAAACCCATTCCTTTCATTCCTCAGACTCTACAGGGAGAATAGGGCACAAATTTCACGTGCTGAGAAAAGACTCGTATATTCATGAGGCGCTATCGTACATATTAAACAGGAGAGTGCTCCTCAGAGGCTGAAAAAACACCCAGATGAGAAGAACTTACGTGCCAAGAATCTTGCCTGATTTTCTTTACATTCTGCTAGAAGGAAATACAGAAAACAATGGTATTTAGCAAAAGGTATTTGAAACACCTCTGCTGTTTTTGAAGAAAACTAATGAGCATAAAGGAGTAACATTTGCTATTGTTTTATTAATTGCTTCTGAACTGATTGGGCTTTGAAAATAAACACCTTTCGTACGCATACAATAAGCACAGTCGTGGGAGAGTTCTCGGATTGGAGAGTGACTTGCAGTGTGCAGTGTAGGGCTGAAGCTGCTGTTTATTCTTTACTGTAAGGCACAAAAAATCCTGGAAGATTGCTGTGATGGCTGCTGAAAATTTTTAAATTTTCCCAAGGCAATCAAGATGAGTATTTTGCAAAGCAGAGAGACTATGACTACTTTAGGATTTGTCCTCAGGTATGTCACATTCCTCAGTATTATTCTTAGTACCATGATTTTCTCTACCTCATGATGAGGGGTTTGCCTTAGAAAGCCCTTTGTTCACAAATATGAGCCAGTGCTTATGTACAGCCAAAGGAACAAAGGTCTTCTGTTCCAAAAGGTGAGCCAGACCAGGCTCTGCTCCATCACAGAAGTCTGTATACAGCAGACAAAGAGCAAGGCAGATGATACACTTAATATTCTCCTAAGAGAGAGCCCAAGAGCTGTAGTTGCTGCTGTAGTTTGCACTGTCAGACGTGAATACATCCCAGTATTGCTTCACAGCCCTGGAAAATGTGGCTAACAGACAAAGAGGGTAAGGCTTAGCGCAAGGAAGAAGTCATGGCTGCTGTACAGGGAACTTAGGAAAGGCAGAGGGGATACAAGGGACGGAGATAAGGACAAGGGCCATACGAGTAACACTCTCCTAACTACTCAAAATGCTGTTGTAAAAGCCTTTGTCTGCCCAAGCCTTGAGACAGAACACTCCTCCTGCCTTCTGGAAGAGAACATGTCCAAAGATGTCCACCTCCCAAAGCAGGTTTTGTAAAGTCACAAAATAACAAACAAGGATAAGATAACCTTGAAAATAAAAGAAACTCAGATTTTATTTGCAGGGGGGGGGCCTAAAATCTCGTTTGAGTGCTCTACCCTGTCAGGCTGGTCCTTCTCTGGTGTGGTTC